GGTACTTTACTTCCACACATTAGCTGGAATTAAACTGTGTGTGACAACGTGAAGTGTGCTTTGGTTCTTTTATCACATAACATCACATGACATAACATTAATAAACACAAACCCTCGTAGTTGGAATCACTGAGTATCAGTTCATGACTTTTGGCAAAGGAAAAAAAAAAAGAAATTGTTCAAAGTTGTTCTTTTCTTGTTTCTTTTAACCGCTGGTGTTGCCGGGCTTGTTTTTGGTGTACTTGAATTTGCTCTGCTGCGTGTGCGTGTTTGTTTGTTCGGTGTTTCACTTTGTAAGAAATGGTTGAAAAGGTTGTCTTCTGTTTGCACGAGAGACAGCCTGAAGGATTGTGGTTGGACTTGATCATGTTGAATAAAAAAAAAAGCACTTGTAAAACTGTGTCTTTGGTTGTGATCTGTTATGAACTGGATGTAGATATTCATAAAAAAAGTATTTATTTAACCCTTGAAAATGCGGATTATATATTAACGTATATACAATATACAATATAACCTGAAAGTGTCGTTGTTTTCAGATTTAAGTTAATAAACAAACTCCTACAATATAACCTGAAAGTGTCGTCTTTTTCAGATTTAAGTTAATAAACAAACTTCCTGCGGCTGCACCTTCGTTCCTCTGCTCCCTTTGAATCTCTACAATAACAGCTTTACTTTGAAGGTCTTCACCGGAAATGATCGTATGATCACATTATCGATCATTTCCGGTCCGGGGGTGGTGGGTGTGGCTGTTGTGACGGTTGACCTGACTTGACCTGACTAACAGCGTGTCTCCATCGCAATTTACAACATTCTGTCAACAATCTTCACTGTGAACAAAGAGACAGTCGGACGGGACATTAGGAGTAAAGTGTGGAATACTGTAGCCGGAAGTTAAACACTCACGCAGTTAACGGGTGAGTCAGCAGTGCCAAGACATTAGTGCGACGTTTTCTATTTGTTTTTATTTACTGTAGTGTGTTGTTAATGAGCTGTGAGTTGGTTAAAAACGTAATAAAAATATCATCTCATATGTTGAGTTCGTGCCTACGTGGCTAGGTGTAGTGTCTGTCAGTTTTCACTTTACTTTTTTACTTGTAAACACAATAGTCGATTTTAGGCAGCTAACTTTGCGTTAGTAGCGCACACTACGGTGGCCGTTGAGGGGAAAACAACATTAAAAAAAATCACAACGCTAAAGGCAAACGTACGTTTCTGGATAGCAACTTCACATTAATGAACTCATCTTAAGCCAATGTCGGATCGATTTCCAGTGAATTATGTTTTTAAATTTTATTTTATTTTATTTTTTTAGAAAATTTACTAATAATAATAATTTTGTGACACATTTATGTCAAAAATCACACGCAGGATGGGGCATGTCCCCAGCAGGTTTAGTGGCGACCGCGATCATGCACGTTGCCAACACTATGGAAGTGTCCGGGACGATGACGCCACACCGATCATTGAGAACGACTGCACGAAAAGACGGCGCTCCACTGGGAGACGATGCTCGGGAGACACGGTTCCGTGTCCGACATGTCAGGGAACCGGAAGGATTCCCAGAGGTACTCACACTAATACGGTACAACAATTGTTTACATTAGAAACAGTAGAAACAACACTTAGAAATATGTGCTAGTTGTTTACATGAAGCTGTACGTGTACAGAGAAACTTAGAAACAACACTTAGAAATATGTGCTACAGATCAATATGATGTTATAATACAGTATTAATGAAAATGTAATTTCTTTTGCAGTACATGTGAAAAAAAGTTATAAATGTAGTGACACGCAGGGTTTGTATGACACAACATTGACTTTAGGGATTTATTTTGAGCCGTCACTTTGTTTTGAAATCAGAAGAGATGATCTGGTTTTTCTTAACCAGATTAAGATGTTTCCTCATCACACTCTAGCTGTGTTTGCGTTTCTGACTGACTCTAGCAGTAACTGATTTTACCACTTATTTTACTAACAGTTGTTGTTTATTGTTTTTTTATAAATTCTTTTGGAGCAATAATTTATTTGAGGTAATATCTTAAAGTTGACAATTTGGAGTTTAAGTGATTTCAGAATTAATAACAATTTGTTATTGTCAATGTAAAAGTTATAGTGACCATAAAAATTGATTTTTTTTGCTCTATATTTTTCCAACATCTGAGGTTAAATCCTGCTGGTTGTGTGTCACAGGTCAGGAGAGTAAACTGGTGGCCGTCATCCCATGTACTGACCAGAGGCTGAGGCCCCGACACACGTAAATAATAACCATTTTTATTTTTCATCACAAACCACTATAAAAGCAGCTCTGGTCTGGGTGCGGCAGCCAGCTGGGTCTAAAGTTCCATAGTTTATAATTGTAAATAATAAATCATTTGATGACAGACAGTGGTGAATTATACTGCTCTGAGCCAGAGGGTCCAGTTTGTGAAGGTGAATTTTGGGCTGTATTGTCCTGAATAAATTTCATTGTTGAGGTCAAAGTGTTATTGACAGCGCCCCCTTGTGTCTCTCTTAGGAAGCTGTACGTTGCCTTGTCCGTGGGTGTGTGCCTGCTCATCAGCGTCTTGGTTTTGTTCTTCCTGTTTCCTCGCCCCGTCCTTTTGTCTCCTGTCACCGTTGAGTCTTCCGTGGTTTTCTTCGTGAACAGCAGCGTCCTCATCAACATCGTGGTGGGTCAGAGAGAACCTTTGATTGACAGACGACCACAGCTGCTAACCATCTGAACCAACTCACCTCCTGTCATTTTTTTTTTTTTTTTTTATTTAATTCGTTCATGTTTCTTTTTTTCGTAGAACACTGTAAACATCACCAACGACAACTTTGTGTCCGTGCGGGCGTACAGTCTGTCAGTGCAGGCCCTCGACTTCCGAACCGTGGTGGGAACAGTCTACATTGAGGACACCACGTCTGTCCCACCTCTGTCCACCAAAACGGTGAGACGGCCTGGGTCTGATGACGTCCTGTCAGAGTGGACTGGAAATGATTCTTTTTTTTTTTAAGCCACAGAAATGGAATATGAAATAAATATGTCCATTCCAGTTGGTTCCAGGTTAACATTTGTTCTTTTTCTCCTCACAGATTTCATATATGATCCCAGTGAACCTGACTGAGCCTGGCAAGGTGTAAGTTTGTGACTCCCAGGAACAAACAAACATTTTACTAAAACTCAAAACAAACGGTTTTGCTGATATATTTGACCTGTGTTGTTTTTTCTTGGTATGATGTCGTCCGTCTCTGCCTCTGTTTCTGCAGTGGCTACTGTAAAAGTCATGTTCCAGTACACATCCTGTACCTGCGCCTGCAGTAAGTACTGCTCTGTTCACACAGTAACGCTGTCCTGTGTACTGTAGTATTGTCAGTAGTAAATGTGCACAAGAAAAATTCCACAAATGTCACATTAGTACTACGCAATGTGTATCAGCGGGTGGATGGGTAGTACAACTGGAAGGTCAGCAGTTTGATACCACATGCTCCTTCACCATCGAAATACTGAAGACTGACCAATCACGTGCTGACTTTTCACTTTGATGAAAGAAGGAACAGGATTATTGTTGTTGTTGTTTTTCAAACTCACAGTCGCAGAAATTTCCCCCTAGGAAACTGATTCGATTTTTTTTTCTTTTTTTTTGCTGCTGCAGGATGTCGTTGACCATTTACTATCTGGCCCACGATGAGCAGATCTCCCAAGACGCGTACAAATTCATCAACTGTGGAGCCAACAGTACTGCACCACACCAGACACGGCTCGCCGCTCAGTGATGGACGGACACAGGAGGAAACGCTGAAGAAAGAAAGTCACTGAGATCCTGAGGTGAAGACCAAACAGAAACCAAAGCCTGACTCCTGATTGGTCAGCTGTCTGTCCGTTGTCTTAATGTGCTCGCTGAACTCTCTTTATTCGCCGAAGCATCTGTTCGTTTGCGTGACATCACCTTGAGAAGGCAGAACTCACGTTTAATGATTGTCGTTTTTTTGTTTTTATAATAGACATGAAGGGAAGAATTTGCACAGCGTCCATTTTTGTTGGCTGTCGTGTGTTACTACGACGACCCTGTTTGTTACTGTTGGCTTTGCAAATCATCATGTAGTGATTTGAATGAATAAACGTTGAAGTGAAGTGAGTAGTAAATGGTTTGTTCTGACGACCAATCAAAACAGGTTCTGCCATCGACCGACCAGCAAATTAGCCCCCGCTGTTAGGCAGGTCCACTAACCACTGTCACACCGTGTCACCTGGAAGCAAAACGTGTTTGTGGATTCCCAACCTCAGGTCCGTGGACCAGTATCGGTTCATAGGTTCATACGTCAGACTAATTCAGGAGAGATCAGTTTGTGTATTAAATTAAACTTTTAAAGTTTTAAAATGTTTTTTCCTCGACGACGCAAATTTACCGACGTCACTAAGAGACGGAATTCCTCACACTTTGACCTCGGGTTCATACGAAGAAAATGATTTTGACATGATTAATGTTTTAATTCATTTATTGTGGAGTCAGAAAATTCATTTACTCTCAACAAAGATCTGCCTCTGAGGGGGGGGGGCGTCTTGGGAGGAACTGGGGCGAGTGCTGGTTCCCTGGTCCTCACCACTGTTGGGTGTACTGCAGAGACTGAAGGACAGACTCACGTTAATCCACTGATTATTTCTAGGGATGTCAGATATTATCGTTCGCCAAATGATGTTTGCCCTAAAGATTTGGGGATAATCTATCGGATATCGGCAAAAAGTTAATATCGGACATCCCTAATTATTACACTCAAACGTGTGGTTCATAACCAGTCGCTGGTCATCTGACCAAACATCAGTACGTACGGAGTATCGGTTGGTGACCTTGGCTGTGTGATTGACAGGTGTGGGCAGGTCACCTTTACAGTGAGGACATTGGTTTCCATCTAAAACAGACAAAAGTCAAAAAGAAAACGACCGTGAGAACTTCAGGTCGTGACGTCAGTCGATGGCGTACCTTTAGTTTAGCATCTATTAGGGCATGGACCGCGGGTCTTCTGATTTTTTCGCGTGAGCATATAGCTCTTCATACGTTACGGATGTAACTTTTGCTAATGAGGCTAACACAGCAGAGACTGGAGGAGAGCAGAACCTTCATCAGACCAACCCGCTCACAGAGCCACTAGGCAGAGTCAGCACAATTACTGATCTCACCCTGGTGCTGAGAACGGATCCGTCTCCCAGACTGCATCCTCCGGGTTGCTGACGGCCTCCACTAGAGGGTGTTAAGTTACACTTTTCTCTCAGTAATTCTTTCTGGGACGTTCTCTCTGCCAGGAAACATTAAATCTGTGGTCAGTGACACCTGAGAGGCCGGTGGGGCTCGTTGATCAATCATTCAGCAGCCGCCCTTCTAATGAGAACTGACCAGACCATGACTGACTGACTGACTGACTGACTGACTGACTGTGTGTGTGCATTCGTGCGTGTGTTCTGAGAAGCTCGTGTGCTGCTATCAAATGGATCATTTCCTCCTGCTGTAATCCAGGCTGCGTGAAGAAAGAGGAGTAACTGAGACCATGAGTTCCGGGTTCCTGCAGTGGTGAAAGAACTATTGTTGGTGTAAATACGGTCGGACACTGGAGCACGTGTCAGTAAAGACAGCGCTGGTCCGTGAACCGCAAACAACATTTCACATCAACATTAATGTTCTTTCGTTCTGTGACAGTCTGAGTCGGGGTTAGGGTTTGGAAATAAGGAAAGTTAATGTTCCTTCTGTGACAGTCTGGGCCGGGGTTAGGGTTTGGAAATAAGGAAAGTGTTTTTTTTTCTTCTCTACTTAGTTGGTAACAAAGTCAGATCAGAGACTCTTCCACTGTAAACCTAATAAAAGTGTCACTTGTTTAAAAAAATACAACACTTTTCTGCTCCTTCTGTCTTCTTGCCTAGCGGCCGTAGCCTAGCACTCTTAGCCTAGCGGTCGTAGCCTAGCACACTTAGCCTAGCGGTCGTGGCCTTCCAGTTAGACCAATTAGAGTCCTGGCCCAGACTGTGGAGTGTTGACCAAGAACCAAAAATATATACCATACTGAGGTCACCTGTTTGTTCTTGAGGTGTGTTTGCTTCACTCGGACTGCAGGTGTCACTACCTCCGACCACCAGCTGTGAAGACAGAAAAAAAATAAAAAATATAAAAACTGAGGTAGATCTGAAACAGTTTAATGTGTGAGCATCGGCCGCTGTTATAACACCTCTATTAATGTATAAAAATGATGAATAAAAGCCAGTTAAAAACCACGACCACCTAGCAGTGACTCTACGGACACATCTGGGGCTGCCGACCCCCTGTTGGAGAATACTGAGACTTTGGGGTGAGGTATACGTCTGTCCTCCTACCTAGTTAGAGTGAGAGCTCAGGAGAGAAAACCTCACCCCAAACATTTCAGTTTTGAATCATTTTCTTTCACAGATTTCCGTCCTGCAGCTTTAACTCAGGTAATTAAGAAAGAGCTCTCCGTCCTGGGAATCAGAAACTGGATACGGACGCAGACTGAGTCAGGAAATCTGGTTTGTCTCCTGCGGAGGTGTCACATGTCCCTGCTCATTTTCCCATCAGCCCTGTGGCCGTTCAATAATAAAGCAGACCTTAGCTAAAGTGCAGCGCGGTGCTCCACCTCCGTCGGCCATTGGAGGGAGTCAGATTTTCACTTCATAATAATAATTTTTTTAAAAAGTCAACTGCAACTCAAAGCTTGGAGCTGAGGGCGACAGATCAGTCTTTGTTTACTGTGGGGGGAGGGGGGTGGATTTAAACAGCAGTCTTCAGGTGAGGGTGGGGTTACCAACCTACACAAACAAACAAACAGACACCACCAGAGACTGAACCACTGACCCACTTTCTCTCTAAGACAACTTTTGGACCCTTCTTGTAGATAAGACAGTTGTCAAACCCCCTCCCGGAGCATCCGCCTACGTCAACACACCTGAGCTGCTTAAACAACAGATTTTTTTTACAGCATGTTGGATTTATGCTCAAATGTATTTGAAGACATTTAAATTATTTTTTTTAAAAATTAGAATTACATTTTTATAATCCACTCTCTGCAGTACCTCTATAGAGCCACCTGAGGTCGCTGCGTACCTTATACAAAATAAAATCCACTCGGTAGATTGCATGTAGGTGTAAGCACCTGCTGTTTGTTGCGTGCCTTCCTGCGGTCCAGGGCACTCTGACGCCGTCTGGCCTCCCAGTGCATCGCAGACATGGAGCTGGTGAAGTTTTAGCAGCGAGGGGTCAAAGGTTACTGCGAAATGACAGAGATGTCGTTAAAAACTTACCTTTAAACTGACCTCAGTTCAGCAATGCTGGCTCGGCTTCCTGAAGTCAAACGCTTTGTTTAATAGTTTAGATTTTAACAAAAGAGAAGGTACAAAGGTAAAAGTGACAGATGAAAAGGTGGAGGTGGGTGACGGTGTTCTGTGTCCTCACCTGACGTGAGCGCTGGAGAGTCTGCTGTGACATCCTGTGCAGCAGAGGACTGGAGGAGAGCTGGAGGTGTCGGCCTCCTGCTCTGACCTTGTTAGGTGGAGTCTCCAGGCAACACCACCCTCTCCTGGGCTGAGAGGAACGGAGAGCTGCAAGAAGGTGGACGAGTCCTTGAGTTAAAGAAAAGACATTGACGTGTGAGACTACAGGGGACAACAGGACAAAGCTACTTACTAGTTAATAGTTTTTATACCACAGACCAGTCGGCTGGTATCAGCCGTTGCTGTGTTCATTTAAAAATAAAACATCTTTGAGAATTTATTCTGTTAGTACCAGAGTCTAAATGACCTTTGACCTGACAAATTATCTGAAGATGAAATAAGTTAAAGTATATGACTGGATTATTTTTGAATGAAGTAAATGAGTAAAACTGAAGTACAATTTTTCATTGTGTCCCAGTAGAGAAAGACCTATGGACAGGCACCGATTCCCTGGACCACGGGTTGGGCAACCCCTGGCCTAGCTCATTGTCAACAAGAAAAATGTGGAGAAGGTGGAGACCATCAGATGTTAATGAGATTAAATTGTTCTCTAAAATTTAAATGTCAATTACATGTTTGCAAATTGTTGTTACTATAGCCTAAAGTCTGACTGAACAAAGCACAAACTCACATGTATGTATAATGTACAAAGTTTACAGGAATATACGTAGAAAGTACTTTGTTCTATATACAAGCACTTTCAAAGTACCTCCTGGGGTATTATGGAGTATTCATAGTATTTTTTTTTTTACTGACAGTTTTATTCCAGATCAGAGATGTTTTTGTCTCCTGTCTGAAAACCTGAAAATATCAAATGTCACCACTTTTTTTTTTCTCTCTCTCTCTCAGGAGCAGTCAGTCAGCCTGGCTCCATCAACCAGTCAGTCAATAGATCAGCACTGGTTCAAACACACACACACACACACCCATGTCATTATCATAATGAGCACAGGTATCACAGTAAGCACTGCAGTATGTCTGCCTCTGTCATGTAAATCAATGGTATTACCTCACTGGTTCACAATGACCAGAACTGACTCCACATTCATTTGAATGGAGGAAGTCAATTGGTTCAGAGCGGCAGTTGGACAAGTGACAGACGGTTTCATGACCTCATGTCCAGACAAGTGTCCTGGACACAGGCCCCGGCTGCAGATCAATACTGCATTAGAAGAAAGAGAGATATTTAATGAAAATGAAAAAAATGTCCAGGTGTTTATGACAAGTGGACAAATCTGATCTGTTGTTGTTTAATGATATCACTGGACTCAGTCATCCTGATTGGAGGAGACCTGGTCCAGACAGAGAGACAGAGGGACAGACCTGTTGTTGGGGAAACTCGGATGTGCTGACCTGGGTACTCTGACAGAAACCAGAGGACTGAACCGCCTGGTTTCTGGGTGACTGTTGTTGGTACAGAAAACACTGCGCGAGAACATTCTTTTCTTCAACCACCTTTAAACACATTTTTACAGTTTATTCTGAGCCATAGGAACGGGAAATTTTCAGTTTTAATTAAAAAAAGTTAAGTCTTCTGAGTCTGCTGTTAATGTAAATAAGTTGAACCAACATGGCTGCCTCTGTAGTTCGATGGCAACTTCCAAACTGCCATATTTATCATTTTACCGCCAAATAAAATTCACAAGAGAGTCTCAAACGCATTAACCTTTCACATTTTTTTCAAGTTTTATGTTACATAACTAGACTCATGTTCAAAAGTCACATCAAATTGTTGTACTTCAATCTACCAGACTCCGCTCCTCTTTATCAAACACCGGTTGTACTACCAGTAGTGACCGTTAGAGGTCACCCACACTCCTTTCCCTCAAGCGCCTGTGACGTCATCAGGGGGCGGCTGGATATCTTACTTGATGCTCTGCTCCAGCCGCACTCAGTGTCAGGCAGGAGATCGGTGGAGTTCAGCGCGGTCTGATCTGATCTGCGGGCTTTCAAGCTGTCGTTTCGGGAATATTTTCACCGCAAATTCACGGATATTTCTCTTGTTCATTGAGGAATTTGACTAAAACGACAAATGTCGACAGCTTGAAAGGGCACGGAATTGCAAATGGGTGAGTTACGTGAATAAATGAGCAGTTCAACGGTTGGTTTGTTGTGACTTTTGTAGCTCGAAGACACTCGTCACTCCGCGGCAGATGAGCTTCATCCGCCGGGAAAGCCGGGGGGAACTATTTGTCTTAAAAACAACTTTAAAGCTTTAAAAAAATACACAAATTGGAGCAAAAGATATATCTGCGATACACAAAGTTTTCATATTTTGTTTTGCTTTGTCTCGTTTGATACATTCGTGCCAAACAAAAACTTTTCGCCCGTGAGAGATGCTAACGGTCGAGCTAGAAAAGTGGTTTTCTCTGCTCGTGAGTCCGTTTTTTGTTTTAAACTATTGTTTGTCGTTGTTTCTAGTTTTGTGCAGAAACAAAAGGGAGAAAAAAAACAGCACAGCTGGAGCTGAACAAAAGCTCCTGACGTGCAGCACACACACACACACACACACAGACACACACAGTCAACTAGGCATTTTTAAAAAGCACCCGGATTTATATAACACCAACTTTGTTTTGTTTGTTTATTTTTAAGCCACTAAAAACAGGCATTTTTATTGAATTCCAAATCTTCACTTATTCCAAAAACTGATTTGTTTTAAAAATCTAGAATTTTTTTTTCTCAGTCAACATGTGATAAAACTGATAGAAAACCAATTTTAAAAAATTCTAAATAAAAACAATTATTCTTTTCAATCTGTGACAGTAACTTTTGACGGTTACTCCTGGTCTCACTGTTGTACATGAATTGGAGCTTCTCTGCTGTCAGTCTGATAAAGTGAAAAAGCTGACTCACGTCATCCTCCCCCCTCTACTTCTTAATCTGCAGCTCTTCACTGACAGCAGCCAGGCAGCCTGGCCCCTGCACCACCACCTCCACTACCACCACCACCTCCCCCCGTCTTTGAAGTGAAGCCAAGAGTGCGAACCGCTCCCAGCCTGAGGAACTCCTCCCTCCAGAGCCTGTCCTGTGACTCAGTTTCTGGCTCCGTGGGTTCCAGGGACTCCGAGGGATACCTGGATTAGAGCAGCAAAACTAATAACCTAGTCCTGCATCATGGGAAACCAGTTCACCGAGATCGCCCCCAACACCCCCTTCTTACCCGGATTCCAGTCTCTGCATGTGGTTGTGATCGGTTTGGACTCGGCAGGGAAGACCTCGCTGCTGTACCGACTCAAGCTGAGGGAGTTTGTGGACACCATTCCCACCAAGGGCTTCAACATGGAGCGGATTAAAGTGCCCGTGGGCAACACCAAGAGCAACAGCACCACGTTCCAGGTGTGGGATGTGGGCGGTCAGGATAAACTCAGGCCCCTGTGGAAGTCCTACACCAGGAGGACGGACGGGCTGGTGTTTGTGGTGGATGCCGTGGAGGCAGAGCGTATGGAGGAGGCCAAGGTGGAGCTCCACAGGATCACCCGGGCAGCGGAGAACCAGGGAGTCCCGGTGCTGGTCTTGGCTAATAAACAAGACCTGGACGGAGCCATGTCAGCGTCGGAGGTAATGAGCGGGCTGGGATTTTAATATTTTATAATATTTTTATAATTCTATTCTTGTGGTCTTGGGATGTAACCCCCCTGTGACAGAGGAGGGACCAGTGTAAATACTTCATTTTAGGAGTAACCAGAGTAAACCAGTCCCACAGAGGTCCATAACCTTCAACGTGTACACACAGTAATCCATCTGACATCACCAACCACAGAGGGTGGCTCCACCCTGCTGCTGCTGCCTGCTGCTGCTGCTGCTACTGCTGATGTTTTTATCACTCAGACGAACTCGGCTTTTAATTAACACAATAACATGTGACCATCACTGAGCTGTGAGACATAATCGAGTCAGAACAAGTTCTTCTCAGATGTTGAACTTCATAATCCAGTGTGTCATGTTGTCAAATTAGTTCCAAGAAAAACCTGGTCCACACACAGTCTGAGAGGCATTTGATTTGACTGTGAAATTAACTTGTTTTTGAATTTGTTTCTTTATTAAAATGATAATGAAATGATTGTCATTACATAAATAACTCCCAAATTAATGTGTGTTTTATATGTATATTTAAAATCCACTATTGAAAAGCCAATGTGTTTTTTTTCATTTCCCTGTCCAGATAAATATTATAATATCATTTGGAGGAAGCAGAATTCCTAAGAAAAATACCTCAAAAAAATACAAAAAACAAATTCTTGGGGTTGAAGAAAATATGGATACAAATATTCACGATGATATAGTAAACATCTACGTTGTGGTGACGGTGTTTTTCTTTTGTCGGTTGGTTGTTGCAGGTGGAGAAGGTCCTGTCGCTCCATGAGCTCAGCTCGTCCACGCTGCACCACACTCAGGGCTGCTCCGCTCTGGACGGTCAGGGTCTGCAGCCCGGCCTGGAGAAACTCTACGAAATGATCCTGAAGAGGAAGAAGATGCTGCGGCACAGCAAGAAGAAGAGATGAAGGAGCACCAGGGGGAGACGCCAGTGATCTGGACCTGGACCAGAACCAGAACCTGTGTCTGTGACACCTTTGAAAACTAAAAAATGAAAAAGCAGAAGGAAAATCTGCCACAGCTGAAAACAGCTGCAGTATCTTCAGCACTCAGCTGCTTCCCTTCCTCACCCCTCCTCCCCCCTCAAAATGACAACTGACCCGCAGCTCCAGAACCAATGTGGAGAGAAAACCAGTGCAATACGTTGACAGACAATGGCTCCAACATTGAAGGAATCTTTTTGTTAATTGTTGTTGATGTTGTTGTTGTTGTTGTTCTTCCACCAAAACTCTGCTGGACTTTTATGTTGCATGAAAGAGAAAAAAGTAGAAGAAAAAAGAAACACTTTTGTTGATCAAAAGAACGTTTGTAATCTCTTAATTTAGTTTGAGAAGAGTCTTCACCTGGACTAACTGAAGACAAACTGGCACCACTTTGACCTTTACACACACACACACACACACACCTTGTTGTTCACCCTCTGTGTGTGTGAGTCAGAGATGGTTTGTCAACTTTTACATTCTGTACATATTGTTTCCTAACGTGTCAGAAAGCGAATAAATTATTGAGCAACTTTGGCAAAAATCTGTTGTAACTTTTTTTTTTGTGTGTGTGACATCACAGTCACAAACTCACACATGATGTCACTGTGATCTTCACTGGGGAGAACTAATAGTTCCACCTTAAACCATGAAGCAGCGACAGTGACGTGGATCAGATCTGACCTCGGGCTCAGACCTTCTCTCTCACGAATCTTTCGTTATTATTGTCCACCCATGTTTTCATGCCCCCACCCTGCACACACACACACACACACACACACACACACGCTCCGGCTCATGTTACAGCTCCTCCCGACTCGCTCTCTTTCAGCTACAGTTCAGGTTCAGTTTTGGTCACGTCAGCAGTTCGTCTCCTGTGTTCAGACCTGAACGTTTTCTGCAGGCGACAGAAAAATGAAGGTTCGTAGGGTCTGTCCTGGTACGGGGGCGAAATAATAACATAAATAAATCAACAGGGTCTGAACCAGTGTCTGTGATGTCGCTTCTACTGCAGCCGTGTGTGTGTGTGTGTGTGTGTGTGGACATCAAACAGGTTTCAAAGAGGTTTCTCAGCTTTTCATGAATATTTGAAGGAGAAGTCAAAGAGGAGGCTGTGGACTTCAAACACACACACATCAAACCTGAAATGATACATATAAATCATTGCAGAATATAAATATATATATATATATTTTCATATATATATATATATATATATGTCCAATATATATATATATTTATATATGTTAAGAAGAGGAAAACCACAGCAGAGACAGACTGGCTGAGTTTCCATGACTTCACTGTCAGGACTGATTTGTTCTCAGTTCCATTAAATTCATTTCCTATATAATGTTTAAATACTTTTTTATACTACACTACACTACTTTAATATACATATGTGACTATGTTATTACTTTAGAGTCTGTAGAAAAAAGTAGTACGGCATTTTACATGAGGCAAATATGTAAAAATATGCAAAAAAAAAAAAAAGAAGAGGAAAACCACAGCAGAGACACAGTCACAGAAAGACAATCATTGTCATTGTACAAACACTGTGGAGCAGTGATGCTTTCAGTGCCACCTGGGGGGGGAGGGGGGAGCGAGGACAGACGGCGAGGGCGGATTTGAACCTGCGATGAAAACCCTGATCCTCTTACCACTGGACCACAGACCGCCCCGGTGGATTATAAGGAGGGGCTTTTATTTTTAGTTTATAGTAGGATGACCTGTCCGTCCTGCTGTAGTTCCTGAAAATGTGTTCAGAAATAAAGAGTTTTTTTAAAGAGTGAAGTTAAATACTACTCTGTAATAAATACTACAATACTAACAGTTGATAAAAGGAGGTCAGGAACAGGGTGTAGGCGGGAGGAGAAATTGAAAGAGAAGGTTTGTAGACGGTAGTGAGAGCTGCTATGATACTCTGGTTGGAGATAATGGCTCTGACTCTACTTCCTGTTGTCCTCTGACTCTACTTTCTGAAAAATCTAAAAAAAAATTCCTGGGCCGTTTGTTGTGCTGCTGCTGTCAGAGGAAGACTCCTCCAGGACTGGCTGATCCTGCTGGTTGTTGCTCCAGAATAACCCCCCCTAGAGGAATGTGTGGGTGTCTAACCGGCCTGGTAGCTGATAGACATCTCTCCGCCCTCGGCCTGTGGCTCTGGGCTGATAAGGACATCAACACAACAATGAGGCCTGATCACACGCCGACACCGTTCACAGTGGTGCAGTAACACACAGATAACAAGCAGCTCTGAGTCAAAGCCCCCCCCCCCCCCCCCCCCCCGACCCCCCCTCCCCCACACCATTGATCAAACTCCAGGTCCATACACTTAAGTCAATCCAATTACCCTGATTGGAGCGTCTCACCGCTGCCATTCAGCTGTCACAGCAAAACGGAAGAGGCAGGATCAGGAAGTCAGCAGATTGAACGGGAACGTCCAATCACAGCAGAGAGAGACAGCCTCATCCAGTCTCCTTGATTGATTTAGTTTTTCCTATTGACCCAACTAGTGATTATCAACTTGCGGCCTGTGGGCCCTATCTGGCCCGCCAAATCATCCAATCTGGCCCGCTACTGGATTCCAACATAAATGTCAAATAATAAATGACCTGTGCTCTATTTACGCTGCAGGGGTGAGATACTGAGCTGTTTATATTCTATGTTACAGCATCAGGTGTCGGAGACATGGCTGTGACATAACACTGTGTGTGTGTGTTTGTGTGTGTGTGTGTGTTTGTGTTTGTGTTCAGGTTAAAAACAGACAACGAGCTCAGCACAGATGACTGATATGTCAGTTATGTCAACTATGTGCTGCCCTGACACACTTAACGCCTCTAAACACACCACATGTCATTACACACACACATACACACACACACACACACAGCTGAACATGTCTCATGTCCATGAGCTGGACACCATTTTACCAAAGGAACACAGGTTTCCTGGAAACTGACGTTTGAAGCAGCAGCAGACGTGTCCATTCCAGCTCCTCTGAAGGAGGACATGTGGACATGTGTCTTTGTCCAGGTCTGTCCACACACAGGTCTAAACAGCAGCCCTGTTTGTTCAGAGGGACTTGTGTCAGATGTTAGGTTCATTTCCCAGTAACTGCCCCGGGGCAAGAAGCATGACCTGCTGATGGAACAACCCACCGTTGTTCCCCTCAGATCATCTTAACTGGCAGCACTGACGTGGAGCCGACCATTTCAGGACTCAGTTATTATTTTATCTCTCTCTGATAACCAGGACGCGTCCCAGCCGTGTCCTCAGTAACATTATCCAGTTGTGAAAAATACTCTTGTATTTCTCAGACATGAAATACCTGCGTGTACGGCCGGTATCGAGCAGAGGTACTTCCCCGTGGAACCAGGATCCTCTGGAGGTCTTTTAAGACACTTTCTTCATCTTGATCACAAAAAGCCCCGTCTCAAGGGTTGAAACCTTTGTTGTCGTTCTAGAAAACGCTGGGGGGGGGGGGCTTGTATGTACAGTATGCACATCTGTGACATTCTACTCTTTTCTATTCTATTTGATTTAACTTTTCCTCAGGCCCAGGGTTCAACCATTCTGATCTCTGACAGACAACATCAAAATCAAAACAAAACAACTTTTATTTTCAGTCTCTGTGAACATTCCTACATTCCTGCCGGTGTCAGAGTGAGTCCACCTGAAGATCCAGTTCCATCCGGTTCCTCAGGTATCCTGCGGGTGTGGCAGCGTTGGGACTACGTCACAGGCAGAAGAAAGACGGCTGACGTTAATGGGCTTGTTCTGCGCCCCACCCACCCACCAACCCGCCCGCCCGTCAGCTGAGGGAAACAGCTGCAGGAAACAGACTCTCTGTACCGAGGACCCACGGTCCTTCAGGCTCAGTCTGTAGTTTCTGTCTTGATTTTGAAAATATATATATATTTTTAACTTTTGACTGAAAGATAAAATAAATCAGGGGTCCTCAATCCCTGGTCCGATGACCGTTGCCGGTCCATATGTCATTTGGTTCGACCCGCAGTGGGACACAGTGAAAAAATGTACTTCAGTTTCACTAATTTACTCATTTTATCTGGTAACGTTTCTGAACAACAGGCCATTCAGACAACAAAATAAAGATGTTTTATTTTGAAACTTTTATTACCTACTTCACTGGACCAGTGTCCAGAGGGTTAAACTGAGTAGACCGTTAACTGACCACGGTTGAGTCACTGCAAACATTTGCATGTTTTTGTTGAAACGTTCTTCACGCCTGGTGTGACCTGCTGTGGCTGCGGGTTAATGTGTGCAGCCCACATGGGACTCTTCATCTGGACGTCACCACCGAGAAACAGACGAGTCTGAGTCTGAACTGAGGTCTGAGCTGTTCTAATAACCCCCCCCCCCAGCAACCTCCCTGACCCCCCGTCTGAGGTGAAGCAACGCTGAACTTTATCTGTGTGGAAAAACACAGTCACACACACACACACACAGATGGAGTGTGGATTTCTCATGTGGGAAACAGCTGTTGAGTTTTTATGATGTAATGAAAAAACGGTTTAGAATTAAATCTGAACTGTTTCACTCTGTGTGTGTGTGTGTGTTCTTGAATATAGTGGCACGTGAGGACCAGTCTTCTGTAACAGGAGAATGTTGAGGTGTAGCAGCTTGGATTAGGCCGTAGGTTATCAAATATAGGGGGCATGGCTTCCTTAGGGTCAGCATGTTAAACTATCTAACTTAGACGAGAATGAGTGGATGTGTTTGATGACTCAGCACTGCAGTTCAACAGAGGAAGTCTAACAATGTTGATTTAAAGGTTTGGATCCTCTGGAAATGTCATTTATTTTTTAAGGACTGGTGCAGAAGTGCACGTACGTTTTGTTCAGCAGATGAAGGAGTTGTTTGTCTGGTTGCATTATTGAAGTCAGAAGAAACTGATTCGATTCCAAGAGTGGGTGAAATTCAATTTTATTGAGTAACAAATGTATTTAACGTCCGTCTGAACCAGGACGTCCAGGAGTTACGGCTACAGTTACCGAGTTACGGCGTCCTCAGCTGGAAAACCGCGTCACAGTGAACTCTCCACTGGTGCAGTGTGTTCCAGACAAACGCTGCACAGATGGGATTTTTTTTCTCTCTCTCTTGTGTTCTCTGATTGATGATCATCTTCTTCCAAAACTGCAGTGAAGGAGAGAATGTTTTTGACGAGAACGCGGTGTCATGTGGATCTGATCTCAGTGATGGAACAGTCAGCACTGAAGGCTGGAGCAGCAGCAGCAGGTGGAGGAGGGAGTCCGTCTGGTATTCAGAGAATGTGGAACGGCCGATGTTTATGTCTGCATACCTCACTGCTCCTCATCTGTTACTGCCCCAGTGGCGGAGAGAGGGAAGGCAGCCTGATGGATAGTAAAGCCATCAAGTTGATGAATTAATAAACGACAATTTCCAAATGGAGACGCGCGCACCAGTGACGTGCGGTCAGAGGAGGCAGCGCCTCACCTGCCATCGTGATTAAAAAAAAGGAAAAAAGTACATAAAATAAATATTCATATTTTCCACTGATCTGTGTTAAAGATGGATTTCCAGTATGACTCCCGCTGATTTTTACCGCTGATCGTACAAGAAAATGCAGAGAAAAGTCAGCCGGGGAGGCGGGCAGTACTCCACTTCACCTCAAGGGGTCATACGTGAACTGACAGGTGCGTTCCAAGCTACAGCCAGTAGTAGGTGAAGAACAAAACTGGACTTCCGGTCCAAACAGAAGATGGTTAGTGACGGAAGCTAACGCCGGAGCTAAAAGGTTAGCTTCAAACTACGGGACAGAAGAGTCGTTCTTTTTTAAATGTAGTTGTACAAACAAAAAGACTGACTGTGTGTCTGCCTTGTAAGAAACCGCCATTACTGCTGTCCTTGTCTTTTATTGTCATCGTGTGATAACGTCTGGACGAACTCGGAATACTGTGAACATTAGAAAAGAAGCCTCAGCAGACATGAAAGATCAGCCACGAACATTCAAATTCAAGGATCGATTTGTCATCGGATAAACAACGGACACTAAACATTAGCCTCCACAATGCTAAGGTGAGGGGAAAACCGAGAGATACAACCATGGACTTCATCTATAAGTAAAGGTAAGGCTTTTTTTTTAAAAAGTGTTTGTTTTAAAAAAATAAGATTGATAACAAACTAAAACTAAAGCAACATAATTTAAAGTTCGAAAAATAACTGACATTATAGTAATACTAAAACTAAAGCAACCGAATTTAAAGTTCGAAAAATAACTGACATTTTTAAAAATTAAATTTGTGCTGCACTCATTTTTATACTTTAATTTGTTTACAGTAAATAAGAAATTCTTAGACTAAGAAGGCTGCTCTGTCCGTTTCTATAAAAGAAACATTCTTGGTAGGACAAATATGTTCCAGTGTATACGTTTGTGTCATTGAGAGAGGAATGTTGATGGATGTGAAGTGTTACCAGGTGGATGATGTTGGATGAACAGTCAAATAAGATGCTCTTTTTCGGTTCTTACTATTGTAAATCTGACTCCAGCAGCCATGAACCTCACCGCTCGTCAGTGACATTTGTTTTCTTCTGTATACACATCGCTGATGTCATCTATGTACACTGTACACAGCAGGTGACGAGTCTACACACACACACACGTGCTTCGTGATGTTTGTGTACTTTATTAGTCCAACATGTACATGTGCTCCTGTTAACACCGGTGTGTACCCAGCTCTCACTTCAACATTCTTACATTAATTGTTACAGTCATTACAAGGATTTAACTACAGTCGTCTTACGGGTGAAAATCTAAACTGCATTGTGATGATTCTTCTTCCCACATATCAGATCTATCTATGGATTTTCTTCATCATTTTCATCAGTTTTCTCTCAGTTTTCTGTGTTTATTAACACTCTGTTATGATACAATGGATACGGTTTAATTTTTTAAAAGAAAAGGTAACTTTCCTGTCAGAAAAGTTCGTTCATCATTGAACAGGACAACAAAAGTTTAGAGTTATATTTTTCCTACTTTGAGTTCATCTTTTCACAGTAATATGAGGTATTCTTTAACTTTGTCTATTGTCATTCCACCTTTGTCCACCAGGTTTGCTCCGCCCCTTTGAACCGTTGTTGTACTCTCTTCTAATTGGACGCTGGTCTCTCTCTCTCTTCCACACTGACATTTCCGTTATGTGAAGAGTTTGGAGACCAGTGAAGCTCACCATCCCTGCATCATCTTGTTGTTGTTGTTGTTGCCCAAATAGTAACACCATACAGTCACAGTGACGGTTAGAAATATGTGTCCTCCGTCAGAGAACCATCCAGGAATGGTTCCTGGATATTTTTAAAGTGGTTTGGTTCTGTTGGATGCCTTGTTGCCATCTGTAGGTTAGTTTCGTTTTTCATCATTTTTCTTCTCTCTCTCCTGTGTTTGGAAACTTCCAAAACATCTGTTTGTTCACGGTTGACTCACCAATTTGTCTTGGCACTCGACTGAGGTGAGATGAGGAGTCGGAGTCGGAGGGGGAGAGGGGGTGAGTAACGGAGAGTGGGTGAGGTGAAGGGAGGGGCTAAATGACAAGGAGGGGCTGGAGTGAGGAGATCTGTTCATGGGAGAGAACGAGCTGCGGTTACAGAGTGGGGAGGGGCTGGAACAAGGGGAGGGGCTTGTGTGAGAAGAAAGGCTGGTCAGAGGGGAGACGCTGATGGGAGAGGAGGTCCCGAGGTGACGGTGGTGAAAGTCGCCCAGGTGAGGAGAGAGGTTTGTGAGAGTGGAGGGGCTGTAGAAGGGGGAGGGGCCGTGTTGAGAGGGGGGGCTCAAGTTTGGAGAGAGACTGCAGCGAGGGCAGGGCCCTGAGTGAGGGGGGCGTCTGAGATGATGGGGATGATGACGAAAGTCGCTGAGGTGAGGAGAGAGGCTGATGAGAGGCGAGTAGTCTGAGTGAGGGGAGGGGCTCAAGCATGGAGAGAGGCTGTCTAAGGGGGAGTGAAGAGATAGGCTGCAGAGAGGGGAGGGGTCCCGGTGTGAGGGGAGCCTGAGATGATCGTGAGGAGAGCGGTCCATGAGAGGGGAGGGGCTCAAATGAGGGGAGAGACTGGTGAGAGGGGTATGTTCTGAGTGAGGGGAGGGGCTGATGAGACTGGGCCTGAGATGATGATGATGATGATGATGATGATGATGGTGGTGATAAGGGCCTAAATGAGGGGAGAGGTTCATGAGAGAGTAGGGGCTTATACGAGGGGAGGGGCTCAGGTGAGGGGAGCCGCTGATGAGAGAGGAGGGGCTGAGGAGGGGACGTTGGTGAGGTAAAAGGTCTCTGGGATGTGAAGGACTTTGGTAATGAGACGTATTCAAAGGAGGAGAGAGGCTGAAGAGAGGGGAGGGGTCCAGTTGAGGGGAGGGGCTCAGGTAAGGAGAGTGGTTTTTGAGATGGGAGGGGCTGAGATGACGAGACAGGTTTGGGCTTAGGTAAGGTGATAAGTTGAGGTGTGGGGAGGGGCTGATAGTAGGAGAGAGGTCCGTTTGAGGGCGGGGGCTGATGACAGGTGAGGGGCACGGTCTTTGGGGATGGGAGGGATTTGGGTGAGAACAACGGCTCAGATAGGGTGAGGTGATGAGATGTGGGGAGGCAACCCGGTGAGGAGAAGGGCTGATGAGATGGAGCGGGCCCTGGTGATGGGAGGGGCCCCTCTGAGGAGAGGGGGGCGGGCGATAAGAGGGGGTGATACGAGAAGACGGGGTTCGATGAAGAGAGGGACTGACGGGAGTTGGACGAGGAGAGCGGGGTGTAGGAGTAGATGGGGTTGGAGGAGGAGGAGGAAGAAGAAGAAGGGTTGGAGAAGACTGTGTCTGGGGGGGGGCTGGCCTCAGGTTCATGTCTAATGTATGCACTCTTCTCTGGAACCCCCCTGGTCGGGCTGCTCAGGTACACACTGAAACTCTCAGGGTTGAAGCTGTTGGATGACTGTTGGATGAGAAAAAAAAACAGATGGTTGTCAATGAACGTTCACACCAGATCATCACAGAAAGTCTGATCATTCTGATCATTCCTACATGGACTAAGAAGCCACGTAGGAAGCCTCATTTGTTTTGTTTTACTGCGATGATAACTCCACTCTTTAGTCTGTTGTTGTGAAAATAATTTATTTGCCGACTCTGCAAAAACCTCCAGTACCGTTAGAAACGAGACATTTACAGACTGAATAGATCACACCAGGAACAATCTGCGAGGGTCCGCGGGGGGAAAGGATCGGCCCGGACTTTTCCGACGTTGGTGAAATCTAACGGCTTCATATGGAATTTATTTTCCAAGTCAAAGTAACAGAAATTATACGTTGATTCCACCTGGACCAACAAGATGAGGATGTTTTATTCACTGTTCACCAGTGGGAATGTTGTTTTATTCACTGTTCACCAGTGGGAATGAACTGAACGTATGAAGGAGCCCATATTAGTGTAGATAACTGGACCTATGTGGGCCACACTGGAGCTGTGTGTGTGTGTGTGTGCTACGCTAGCCTCGTTACACGGGCTGTGTTGTTCTTTGTCTTCTGTTTAACCAGTAATAAACTGTGATTGGTTGATACACTGGGAGCCGACTGTTTATTTATACAACATCAAAGACCAGCCGCTGCATTTGCATGGATTTGAGCCTGTTAGAATTTCTGGAGCCAGTTTGGAGTGCGGTCCACGTGTTATCGCTATAATCAGCCCATGTTTTTTTTTAAACACAGTAAATAACATCGGGGGATGCTTTGAACAGGCCTGCGTTAACGGCTAACGTTGTTTACGTACACTGTCCTCAGTGATGATGTTGCGGTCATGCCACCATTGCTGGTATGTGGGCATAATTTTGTCCATGGTCAGTAAAAAGTGAGCGATTGTCTCAGCGGTGCGCGCTCCAGCGGTCGGGCCTGTCACCTGCTGCAGCGTCGACTCCACTTTGTTTATCTTCCTGGTGGTTTAATGGCAGTTGGTTTCGTAAGGTTGGAGTTCATGCCCTGGTTGTATCTCATCAGGATGACATCATGAAAGCCATGGAACGTGAGGTCACCTTTATGAAAGTAGGGCTATTTCCTAAGGCCTTTTGTATCAGGACTGTTGTAGCTAACGTTAGCGCTGGCGTCTGTACCAGGACTGTTGTAGCTAACGTTAGCGCTGGCGTCTGTACCAGGACTGTTGTAGCTAACGTTAGCTCTGTTCCCTGCACCAGGACTGTTTGTTGTAGCTACTGTTGCAGCTTTTAGTTATCCTGTGTGAAGGAAGGTCTGCTTGGCGGAGGTGCAGATGTGGCGTCTGCTGTCGTCTTGTGTCTCTGCTGCCGTGAGCTGAGACGTCCTGTCTCCTGGGCTAACAATAAGTGCGGTTTCCTCTCAGACGAACAACAGGCAGACCCAGAACCAACACATCAAACAAAAGCCTGACTTACTGTAACCTCTCTCTTTGAGATGTTCCTGCAGCCTCTGATAACGTTCTCCCCCCCTTGACCTCCCCCCGGCCCCTCTCTCTCTCTCTCTCTCTCACACACACACACACACACTCCAGCATTGTATTGAAATAGTGAGAACCTGTAAACAGACGTGTCTCTGTAAATCCTTTAATCCCACAGGTCATAAACCCGGGGACCCTGATGCCACCCTTTTACAGCCTCCTTCTAACAGGAGGTGACACCTCCTCTTCTCCTCTGCTGTTCCTGCTCCCTGTCGTGCAATTACCTTCCAAATGTTTAACGTAGCGGTGGGGGGGGGAAGGGTGGAGCCTCTCAAATATTGGACTTGCATAGTGAAAAAGACAGAGATTTTATTGGATCTGTTCGGACTCCGCTCATCCTGAGAAATACGGAGGCAGGGATCATTTTAAATGCCTGGAAAGTCATGGAACCCCCCCACAGGCACTTCAGAGGCGAGGGTCTTGTCTGTCTGACTCCTTCAGTCTTCGGTCGATTGTTGTTTTTTTAACAGGATTTATTCATTTCATTTCCAGACCCACGTTAATCTAATCTCCTGCAGCTCTCTTGGCTGGAGGGGCCCACGGTGTATGGGATGGGGGAGGGTACAGGAGGGGCACTGGTGTGAAGCAGGAAAAACAAGACAGGAGATGATGAATGAGGAGGTGCAGCGACCTACACCGTGAGCACATCTCTCTCTGAGGAACATTTATCCAAAGAGAAGAAAAATGAAGAAAAAATAAAAATCAGTCGTATTAGAAAATGTCTAATCCATTTTGTTAAATGTCCGACTTTTTTTCCAGTTAGGTGGCAGCAGATAATCACAGCTGTTGATGAAGATTGTCTTTCTTCAATTCCTGCCAGTATAACAGCGTTGTCTTCAACTAAACAGGCTGAGATTTTAGTCAATTATAAGGGTCATTTAAACTTTTGTCAGATTTTTGTTTGGTGCTGTGCTTTGGGATTTTCCCTGATGCTATAAATGTGCCGTGGCTCAGGAAAGGTTGGGACCGTCCAGAGCAGGGACGCCTGCGTGCTCTGTGATTACAAACATCATCATATTTCAGCCTGTAAACATCACTTAGTCTCTGCACACGTTCCACTAAATGACAGAGCGGACACGTTGGCAGAGTCGCACTTTGGTGAGAGTCCAGCAGCAGCTGCACATCTACACAGGTTTATTTACTACTACAAAACAGTTTCTCATAAATCATATTTCTGTTTTCTCATTTCTTTTTTTTTTTTTTTTGCAACTGAAACAACTTTTAAATTCCAGAAATCCAGATGTGAAAAATTGGAAACATCTTTAAAACGTGTTGAATCATCAGTAGTTTTTCCTTCTTTCTTCTTATACCCCTCC